ATATAGCAAATTGTATATTTAAAAGATTATATATATGTATATATAAAATCTTTAAGATAAAAAATGTGCCTTTGTTTATTTAAATTCTAATATTTTATCTAATAATTTGTCATACTTGTCTTGCTTGTCACGTCGCTGTTTGCAACTTTTAAGAAAAGTGTAAAAAGCAATAGTCTGCAGAACTGCATGTTGATATGATCACTCGATCACTGTAGCACCACTGTATCACCAGAGTTATTGAACAGTTATATAGTGTCAGTATTATTATATCTTTAAGATAATTTCCCCACTTCTTCTCAAATAGCTTTCAAATAGCTTTGTGGTTCAATATGTAAGAGTGATAGAGATGGTAGATAATTAACTATCAATATACTACATTATGACCAACACACGACAAATAAGAAAATCATTATCATTATCGCGAGATCAGATTGTTTTAATATTTGTAGTAAGAATATTTCGCCTTGATAAATTATGTAACGGAAATTTACTCATGAGTCTTTAATGTTTCGTGCTGTATCATTATAACTGAACTAATATTATGATCATCTAATACTAGTAATATCATCATCTAAACACAAACAAATAACGATGTTAATGATTAATGAATGAGAACAATTAATTTCATTAACTATAATTAAAGAAGGAGCATACAGTCAAAACACAAGTTATTCATACAATATGAATTTAAATTGCAATAATAATTTTATTTAAAATTAATATATAATATTAATATATAATATCGGGACAAATAACTTGCGTTTTGGCTGTATGTTTCTTCTTTAATTATAGTTTATAAGTATTAAGTTATTTACTTCTATATTTAATTTCATTAAAATGTAATAGAACTGTAAAAATCACATCAACTTAGTTTCATTTTTTAATATTTTTATTGATTCATAAAATATATCAGCAAGACAATAAATTGAATTATTATTTTAAATACATAAAAATATACTATTGGGATTTCGTAACAATCTTTCTGTATATCATATTTATATCAATTTACACGTGCTATAATGTGCATGCATACAGAAGATCATGAGTACATTTCTCAGGTATATGTGCAAAATTATTTTTTACAATTATGTACTCTTTTATTTAAAAATTTTAGATATTTTAATCTTCGATTACAAGATCATCCAGCATTTCCTCGAGAGTAATCTGCGGAATGCTCGAGTCTATTTCGCTAGTGTCAACAGGAATGTGCTTCTGAACGTCTCTAAATATATTGATGTTCTGTCTCATTTCCGGATCTTCTTCCAGTTCATCAAGGAATTCATTATATTCGCTGCAAAATGCAATTGATATTCTAAGACAATTTGCAGTACATATTTGTAGGCTTTTACATCGTTTTTCAACATACTTATTTTCTGTGCTCATACTGGCTACTTCATCAGTAATATGTTTCAACTTCCATACTCGTGCCTTGCGACGAGCTGCCTTGTTATGGCCGTAAAACTTCTTTACCAATATGATATCGGGTATTGAATCTTCACTTAGTTTATCGAAATTGGTATCGTTAATATTACTATCTTTCAGAGCATAGCTGTAATAAATGAATTCAAAATAAATTATCAATGGATTGTACTATTCTTTTAATAGAACATCTTTCAATTGCTTATATAAGATGTTGAAGGACGAAATTTGCATCTCACTCTATTTTTTTAATAAAGCCATATTGTTTTCTGGCCAATGCAATTTATTGGTCTAATTTAAATATTATCGATTCATTTGTAGTTTTGAAGGGCAAAGTGAGAAACAAAAGTTCTTTTCCAATATTTTTTAAACAATTGAATGCTCTGCTAAAAGGAGGATATAATATCGCACTGTAGCAGTTGTATTCAAACATGTATGATTTTATTCCCACAAAGATAGAATCTGTATTAAAAACAGATGATAGACCAATCTCCTATTATTATAAATGCAAGTAGTACAAGTATTCACGAGTGTTTTCAAATGTTCATGTTATTTACATAAACTTACCCGAGTACTGAATCACCTGGTTTAAGTATATGGCCTAAATGTGTACGCGTGTGAGTTGGATTATCGTTTATCCCCAATTCAGATGCTTTCACTAGCCATGCGTCCGCGATGATGTGCTTAAAAATTAGTTATTAAAATTCAAATTATTAAAATTAAACGTAAAAAGGCTAAGGAGCCAAGCTTGTTGTCCGTGCTATACAATATTTATAAGTTCATTGCGGAATAACAATTATAAATACATACAAACGTTTTGACCTTTTTACATCAGGTAGGTCATCATCAGTGTGATAAAATTATCGCTACCGGTTTACATTTCAAAATTTTCGTATAAAGACCGAGATATTAAGACTCTTGTACTTCGAACGCAAACATAGGCCGCGTTTCGTTATTCACTGTCAGTACTGGCAGCATTGCACATACCGTTCCAATATATGTCGCAGTACACTTCCAATATACTTTTCCATCTATATGACGTCATAAATTTTTGCGTCACTTCCTACTTCTATTACTGCGGCTGGCGAGGTCAGGCAATCGCAGTAAAAAGATGGCGAAATCCAACGAAATGGAAAATCCGGAAAAAATGTGTTTTTTAGATGTCGAAACGAATGAAAGTTATGAAATATTAGTGAATAAAGAAGATGCAGAAAAGGCACGCAAAGGTATGTATATAATTAAAATTACAAATTATATATATACACGATGATCCATTTTAATCGACGGATCCAATACAGTGAATAACGAAACGCAGCCATAATATGCAAACTAGTTTTGTATAGCACAAACAACAAGTTTGGTTCCCTAGCTTTTTCTATGTTTTGATAATTCGAATTTTATTCGTTGGAGCCTTTACATTGTATTTAATTTAAAATTTAATTATCAAAAATTTTTATCTTGAATGAATTACATATTAAATTTCTCATATTGTCGAAATATTTTATATAGGAAAAAATTTACTTTATTAGAAATAGTTCCTTGTCCTGGAAAAATTTTTCTATCTTTGTATTTTATTGGTTCAATATCCATCACGATGTACTCTGTTAATTGTTTTGGGTCGCATATACTATTGAAGTTATTTCTCCAGTAGACAGTCGAACTAACTTCAGCAACTAAATAAAACATATCACTGATAGCATTAATTAAATAAGCATTAAGATTAATAATTAATGTTATACCATAGCTTACTTTGTCCTGATAAAAAGTCTATAAGATGTACAGCATTTGTAATTCGATATACCAAACAAATAGGATTAATGCCACCTAACTGTTGAGCCAACTTCCGTGGTAGGCAAACTACGCTATCTTTGGAGAGCGGAACAATTTCAACGCTGTAAATGGTGCAATAAAGGCATTACAAATCTAAATACGTCGCAAATGTATGCTGTGTATATTTACCAAAATGTAAACTTGTAATTGTATAAATTACTGTGGCAATCGTGCGAAATTAATCTCTTCGAATGTTGATACTGGCATGGCATGACCGTCATTAAAAAATCAACCATTTTTCTAGCTGCGGCCTCGTTTGCATAGTAAAAGTCCAAACCCTCTGTAAAGTTAGAACATTTTATGTATCTGTTTGTTATTAACTTGATCCAAAATTTTTATGTTACACTTGGAAACTCTTTACGGTACACCGATTGAAAAACCTTGTATCAATAGTATAATATCAAAAAATATCAATAGTATAATATAAAAAAATTCCGTAAAACGCAATATTTACCATGAATAGGTTTTATGCCCAGTGTGTGCTCATGTGCTTTATGTTTCAATATCAATTGCTCTAAGTAATAAAAAGTTTTCTTATTTGTTGCTCTCTGCCGGACTTGCACCTATAAAACAATATGAAATACATAAAAACGCCACATAATTGAGTACAATTAATTGTTCGATATATTTGAATTTCTTTTAGATTCTCTTTGCAACCATGAAAACTTACGCATGAACGCCAGTAATCTTTAGCTTCCGTACGGTGACAATCTTCGCACATTTGATGATTCACGATATATTCGACTACAAATACTTGCTCCAGGACTGTTCCATCAATTACTTCTGCATGAACAGTTAGTTTTATCTAAGAGAAATATGACATATGATATAAAATGGAAATAGAATTTAACATTTAAAATTGAGTTAATCAATGTAGACAATGGTTGCATAATTACTGTCTACATTAATATTTACAGGGACAGTGGGACGTAAATATACATTCCACTTTCTTCTTCTTCTTAATCTTTTTAATATTTCTTCGACATTTAACTAACATACATATTGATATAATTTATATTTTTGAAAATAAGTTTTCAGAAAACTTTCTTTAATCAATTAAGCAATATGTTTTTAGTTATAAATAAATTAAAACGAAAAATTAATTGGGCCGCATATAAACTAATAAAGTTAAAAGGCTGTAAATTTAAACAAATATTAGGCACATTTTAATGTGTAATATACAGGGTGTTTGGCGACTACCGCATTTTTTGTCATACGTGGGTAGAACAGCCTATACTGAATCAAAAAGTCCTGTACCATTTTGAGGTGTCAGCAATAGTTAACAAGATATTAATTACTAAGAATTGCAAAATATTGGTCTTGAATAATTTTTTACTCAAATACTATCAACTTTACAGAAAAACTGCAAGAGACAAAAATTATTTATTTTCTTCTTATAAAGTTCTGAGAATTTTTTTAAAATTTTTTATCAACTTTTTAGTACTCCATTTTGACGCCATTTTCTTATTTTTACCAACATGAGAAAATACGGTACTAAAAAATTCTGAAAAAATTCTGAAAAAATTCTCAGAACTTTATGAGATGAAAATAAATGATTTTTGTCTCTTGCAGTTTTTCTGTAAAGTTGATAGTATTTGAGTAAAAAATTATTCAAGACCAATATTTTGCAATTTTTAATAATTAATATCTTGTTAACTATTGCTGACACCGCAAAATGGTACAGGACTTTTTGATTCAGTATAGGCTGTTCTACCCACGTATGACAAAAAATGCGGTAGTCGCCAAACACCCTGTATAATAATTTATTGAGAATGTTCTACTTGCACGTTTTTTATTTAAAAAAATCATATATATATATATATATAGAAAACGTTTTTCCTTAGGAAAAAAGCAATTTGTTGTATATAAATAAAACATTTTATAAAAATTACATTTTTATAACAATAATTTTTATAAAGAAAACAGTGAATAAAACATAAAATTCAATATGACGGACAAATTCCTTAATCTCATCAGCCGATTTTCACCTAATATTGCAAATATTAATCCATCAAGTTTTAAATCTATTTGTGATTTTAGTAACACGTAACTCCAGCAACTTTGCTTGTATCACCTATGTAGAACTTACTTTCAATCTTTTAGAATGTGGTTCTGTCCATATAAAACCGGCGTCTACTAGTTTCACACGGTTCAATCCCTTTAACTTTTTCAAGCACAGTGATAAAAGTTCCCTGGATTCCAGAGCAGCGTGAATCCATTCGGAAGGTGGTTGAAGATACCTGTTATATGAACGTACAGCATTAACTTAATCGAGTTAATATGTAACACCAACATTTGAAACCTTTTTATATATTATACCTCTCACAACCTTTGCAAAATTGTATAGTCGCTTGTTTAGGGATACCCTCTGTAATATCAACGTGGGTACGTAGACATCCTACGCACATATTGGCGGGATTCGGCTCGATGAGGAGCCCACATTCGCAACAGAGACTACGAAAGAAAGTCATATTTATTCGATTGCAAGATTAATTTTTATTTTTTGTATAGATATTTTATATATATATACATATAAACCAGAAGATAGAAATTAACCAATCATAATCGAACGTAAGAAGAATAGTAGACTACAATTGGTCAATTTCTCACTTCTGACTTCTAATTCATTACTTATTGACTTATTATAGAGTCTCCAATACAATAGTAGAAGCTTAACAATAAATCAGTTAAGTTATTAACATACAAAATTCTTTATACTTCAGAAGCAGTTCAGTTTTTCACTCTCTCTCATGTGTGTTTACTAAGTTTCTTTTACTCTACTACTACTATATTATATACTCTATTACTCTATACTATATATCTATTATATAAATGCTGAAGATTTTCTTGTAAAATATGCCACATATGTGTACACACACACAGTATATATAAGGTGTATGAAAGATTCCAGATCTCTTCAATACCTTGAAAATAAACATTTCTGAAAAAAAGTTTTATATGACAGTTGTAGAACTTTAAAAAATCAATTAGATAGTAACATTTAAAAAACGTCCAACAGTTGTAAAATAAACGTTTATCTCTCTTATAAAAAAAAGCCCTATAATTTTTGTAGGAAATTTTTTCCAGAAATACTTATTTTTCAAGATATTTAAGAAGTTTGGGACTTTTCATACCCGACCCTACAATTTTATATACATGTGTGTGCGCGCGCGCGCGCGCGTGTGTGTTTCTTACAAGATGAACATTTATAAAATTCAGTAAGAATAGTAGTATCAGGCTCCAAGGAATAAATCGAAAGATATGAAAAAACAGCCAAATATGAGTCAACACAAGATCTTTGTGTAATTAAATTCAATATATTCACGATTCAATTACAGACATTTCGATCCCATGGATTGGATCCTTTTCAGTGTACATCAAAAGTAGTGGATAGACATAAATAGTTCAAACTAGGACATCGTTACGATTGCTCAGTATAAATTCATAAAACATCATCTGTGATATCTCATTGAATACTCGAACTTTATATTTAAAACGTTTACATTGAATTCCAGTTAATGATGCACTATTATACAATCTCATGGCGGAATCAGAAAGGTAAAGCATTCCAAAGGATGCGTAATAGACTGTGACATGTCAATAACATTTGATTGGTCAAAATTCGCCCCTTCCTTGCTCCATCATGCACAATGGCTGCGTTCAGCAGACTCAACAGTTTTGCAACCGTTTTGTGATTCTTCGCTGAGAGGACTATTCCTTTAAATCTAAAAGTATAATCCAATCGGCGCGACAAATCATAAAACGGTTGCAAAACTGATGAATCTGCTGAACACAGCCATTCTTACAATACAGAAATTATATGATGTAAACTAGTGAGAGAGTGATTAGCAACTGCTAGTACATAGATACATACTACTAGATACCAGACGATATTTTATGAATTTATACTGAGCAATAGTGTAATGATGTCTTGGTTTTAATTATTTAAGTCAATCCACTAGTTTTGATATGCACTGAAAAGGATCCAACCATCTGTAATTGAGAAACACAATCAATACTAGAAAAATACCTATTACAATCAAAGCTGGATCTTCATTGCTATAAATAAATGGTAGAGGACTTTTCGACTCAGTTTAGTCCGCTCTACACAAAAGCGATTGGCCAAAACTTACGAAACACCCTGTATATTTGTATAAAATAAATATTTTAAAGGATACATTTTATACATATACGTACATCATTCCTTTCTTTGCATCCTCTGAGGCTTGTTGAATGTACTCCATTTTATGTACTTGTCACTGAAAAAAAACAATTTTATAAAATATGCTCCATGTGTTCTTCTCGTGAATGCCTGTCTTTTTAATCCTCCAATTAAATTTGGAAGGCGAAAAGAGTATCTCCACACTAGGGGTGCGTTCCGTTTCTCGCATGATGCGCATAATGCATCGTTTATCCTTGTTGCTCACCAAATGTTAAACAAGGACAATGGATGCATCATGCACATCATGCGCGATACGGAACGCACCTTAGATTGTATTCTAGATATAAAAATTCGAATCCTTCAACAAATGCCAATTTACAACGCTTGAATAAAAATCTCTCTCTGTCTGTGATTATTTGCAACTCTATCTCCAAACAACGTAAAAAATTAATTGACAAAATCTTAAGAGACCTTCGCTCCTCTAACCTCGTTGATCTAAAAACCTAACCTAAAAGTCGCAATGTGCCACGAAACAAAGCGATTAGTCCGGATCTACAATAGGGTTTTAAGCCTTAAACCATAAGAAATGGGCGAATCACAGTCGCTTATTCTTCTCGGATTCGATTGTAAT